GCCATGCATCGCCAGTGCCGCATTCGTCGCTGTGCTTCTTTAGCAGGCGGTGGACTGTCGGCTGCGAGGACGGTCGCATTTGCGCGAGGCGAGGCGAGCATTCAGACGCGTTGCATGCGCCATGACTCGCGCCAGCGCGTGCGGGAGCTCCTGTGGCTGAGCGTTGAGTCCAAGCGAGTTGCGCTGGCCACGATCGCTACGCCGAGCCGAGCTGACGCGCCGGAGGCGCCGGCCAGTCGCAGCCGCGAGGCATGCCACAGCAGCAGAGGCACCTGCCACCCATTGGGCGGGCAGACAGAAGGCCAGGGCAGCACTGGCAAGTGCAACGCGCCTCATGTCGGAGAGCGACCGTGCCTCGTTCGCCGCTTATGATGTAGAGTTTGTTGTAGAGATTTCACGTTGTAGAGGGCCTCTACATCGCTCTACAACGCACGCAGTTCGTCACGCGGCGGATGTAGAGCTCTAGAGCTCTACAGCGCTCTACAGCGCGCTACACCTCTACAGCTCTACAGCGCTCTACACTCTACATCCTCTACATACACCCTCCCTCAGGCTTTGCGATCGTGGCGGGGTGCACAAGCTGCAGGCGGCCTTTGCGATGGCGGAGCTGGCGCGAAAGGCGAAGCTCGAGAAGATGCAGGCGGCGTGGTGCGCGCGCGAGGCCGACATCGACGCACGCCTCAAGGACGCAAACGACGTGCTCGCACGCACGCTGCCGGCGGACCGCGAGGCGGCGCAGATGTCGGTGGACGTGATCAAGGAGGAGCGGCGCAATTTCTATACGGCGCAAAGGAAGGAGAAGGTGCAGCTCGAGGTACGAGGAGGCGCGGCGGACCGCGAAGCGCAAGCACGACGCCGAGGTGGAGGAGCAGCGTGTCCACAACCGAGACATCAAGGGCAAGGTGCGCAAGAAGTTTAAGGCGGCACTCGCGGTGACGGCGGCTCGCGACTCCATTGCCGAGAGGGCTAAGGCAACAGCGAAGGCAGCAATTGCCTCGGTGCTTGCCGCGTATAAGGACAAGGCGGCTGTGTAAAAACGCGTATGTGTGTAATAGACAATATGTGTGCGGAGAGTGCGGGACCAACCAACCAACATCTGGAGGCCTGGAGTGCGCAGAGTGGGGGACCAACCAACCAACCCAGGGCCCGGAGAGTGCGTGAAGTGGGCTGGCAGCTTGGTCAAACCCTCGGGTGCAGATGCGACATGAGGGCTAAAATCCGGAATATAGACTGCCAAGAGGGTGCTCTAGGCCGCGAAGACACCGCACACGGTCTCCCTACTCATGCGCGGCTGGCAGGAGGGTGCCAAAAACGTGGTCTTGACTCTTGTGTCCGACTTGCACTTGGTGGTTGTGGGGTGATGTAGCGATGGGTGTGGGTCTCCAGTGACCTATACAGCTCCGCCGCGCCGTGCTCCGTCTCCTGACAGTCCGCCTCTCACACCCTCACTGTCTGCGATGTGCGCGCTTCTTGATCTTGTTTCTTATCCCTATCTATGAAATCCCCACACCTACTCGAGTCCTTGGGGACCCGCTGGGATGCCCAGGGACGACGGCAAGAAACCAAGAGGGTGAACCTGTGAAGAGCGCGGCCAGTGTGTGTGTGTGTGAGTGTGTGTGCGGTCACAGGGCCCGCTCGTCCATGAACCCAACCACGTATTGCGGCACGAAAAAGACAGTCGGGGCATGGTCGCCAATCGATGTGAAATGTATTTCTGCGCCTCAAATTCTACACGAGGAACTCCAAGTCCTGCGCTCTGTGCAAAGCCGGGCATTCCTGGCACTTCGCGAGCAGTTTGGCAGACAGCTCCGCCACCTGCGGGGCACACAAGGGGGAGCCAAATTGGCTAAGAGGGGCGTGCCTCGGGCCAGAGCATGATCTACTTCGAGGCACCAGCGCGTTGTTCGACGTGGCGAGGTTCTTCGTCTCGCCCGGGTCGGCCTCGAGGTCAAAGAGGTCGACACTCCCCTGCACCCGGCGAGCTGACTCAAATCCGGGCGAGACCCACCTTGTGAGGCGGTATCGACTCGTCCGGTAGCTGTAACCCCACGCCCTTTCGCCGCTGTAGTAGGGACAGGTGCCGTGGCAATGACGAAACGTTTCGAGCATTGTGATTGCGCCCTCACCTCCTGTAGCAGAAGCCGTGCTGGCTATCAGCGGCACCAGCGACCGCCCCTGCACTCGCGATGGGATCGGCAGGTCGCTCATCTCGCAGAGCGTCGGGAAGATGTCGAGCAGCTCGACCGGCGCGTCGACGCGTTTCACGGCGCTCCCGCTCCCGCCGGGCGGGACGAAGATGAGCGGCACGCGAAGCGAGTTTTCGAGCGGCGAGCGCTTGCCCCACATGCCGTGGTCGCCCTCGCCCCCTAGGTGGAAGCCGTGGTCCGACCAGAGCACTGTTGCCGTGTGGTTTGTGATCCCGAGGCTGTCGGCCTCGTCCACGATCCGGCCGATCAGATGGTCGACCCACGACACGCAGGCAAGGTAGCCATGCAGCATGTCTCTCTTCAGCCATGTTGGAATCAGCCCGGCTACCGGCACTGGAAAATAGCCCCTGGTCTCTTCGGAGCCATGCACCTCAAAGCCGGTCTCGTTCTCAATGCCCGGGGCGCTGTCCACAGAGGGCAGGCTCTCTCCCGCGTAAGGTGGCGATCGCTGTACTTCATGGGGGTCATCAAGTGACCGCGACTGACAAGCCAGAGGTCGATACTCTGGACGACCCATAGGATGCCACGAATGCCTGAAGGAGAGGGAGGCGAGGCCAGAGGCAGGCTCAGCTGCTCTCGGGTGATCTCGCTTTGGTGGCTGAAGGACCCGATGGTCCTGTCACATTCGCGTTCCGAGTCTCGTGGGGGTAGAAGATTTCGAGGTAGAATCGAGTCAGCACTTCCTTGTAGTACAGCGGACCGCCAGGCTCGCCGGCAGCATCCGCAGGGAGGCAGCATATGCTGAGCATATGAGGCACCAGTCTTCTGGGGAGCTCAACAGCTGCGGCCGCGATGGCGGAGTCGGCCGCGGTTCGAGCGAGCAGCTTTTGGCTGCGGGATCGAATCGCGGAAGGCTCATGCCCTCGCGGAGCGACACGGGTCGCGCGGCGCGCGCGTGTGCGAAATGCGCCAACAGACGACAGACGCCAGAGGCCTGAGCGCTGTACGACTGAACTTTTGTCGCCGCAATCGCCGCCGCCGCCATCTTGACGAACGAGCAGCGCGAGCGCGCTCGTCGGCGGCCAGCCGTCGCGGGCCGGGCCGAGCCCGGCCTCGACCGGCCGCGCCGCCGCAGCAGGCCCGGAGGCCCACATGGCGGCCGACCAGCTGATAAGGACCTCATTTCTTGTTATCGTGAATAAACAACGTGTGAAGAATTCCGCACATTTACAAAAAAGAATGTTAAAATAAAGGAACTGGCACGACAGGGGCAAAAAGAATTGTAAACAAAACTCCCTCGCACGACACTTTCACGGGATTCACAGGTACACCGGGCCAAAAGAAAGCCGACCGCGTCTCGAGGCTCGCGCCAACAAGCGTTGCAGGCAGTGCAACGCTCTCGGCACTCCTCCGCGCTACCCCGCCCTAGTCTGCGCCATTTTGTGCGGCTGGCCCTCTGTTTCGCCGAACACCACCTCGGCCGACACCACCTCGGCCGACACCACCTCGCCGACCTGCTCGGCACGGAGAGACGGCTGATCCCTCTGCTTCGCCCGCTCGCACTCGCAGAGAAGCCTGCATCTCAGCCATGATGGGCCCTTCGCTTGGACCGGTGAACCTCTTCGGAGAGGGCTCGCAGGAGGCCAAGGGCGAGCAAGCCCGCATGGTGCGCACAGTCGCCTCTACTCCTCCCACTCTCACGCCACTCGCCCGCCGCCTGCCGCCTTGCCGCCCGCCAAGGCTCTCACGTCGAGGTGGCTCGCGTGGGCGGGCCGGCCTGGCCTCACGTCCTCTCCCGACGACCCGCGCTCCTCCCGCCCGTCCCGGCGACCCCCGCCGTCTGCCCACCCCTCTCTGCCTTCTCCCGCCGCCTGCACATCTCCTGCCTACGTCTCCTGCCTCCTGCCCCCGCCGCCACGCCTCTGTTCTCGCCTCGCTGCGCACGCGTGTGGGCCATCTCTGCCCTCGCCTCGCCTCGCACGCCTCCTGCGCACGCCTCGTCTCGCCGTCCTCCAAATCTCCCCCCATATATCCCCCTCGCAGTCCTCCATCGTCGGGGCGCTCGCCATCGCCGACCTTGTCAAGACGTCGCTCGGTCCGAAAGGGATGGACAAGATCCTGCAGTCGCACTCGCGCGGCGGGTCGGTCTCGGTCACAAACGACGGCGCGACGATCCTCAAGTCGGTGCTCATCGACAACCCCGCCGCAAAGGTGCTCATCGACATCTCAAAGGTGCAGGATGTCCAGGACACGCCCATGACATGTCCGGGACATGTCTCTAGGTGCTCATCGACATCTCAAAGGTGCAGGACGACGAGGTCGGCGACGGGACCACCTCAGTCTGCGTGCTGGCGGGGGAGCTGCTCCGCCAGGCGGCCGACTCTATCAAGAAGACAGACCACCTGGAGGAAGCCCCCCCCCCCCCCCCTTCCCCCCTCCCCCCTCCCCCCGCCCCCGCCCCCCGCCCGCCTCCTCGCGGGGCGCCACGACATCTCCACGACATCTCCACGACATCTCCACGACATCTCCACGACATCTCCACGACATCTCCACGACATCTCCACGACACGTGTCCCTCGACACGTCCCTCGACAGGTCGTCATCGGAGGCTACCGGCTCGCGAGGGACGCTGCCCTCAAGGCGCTGCGCGCCGCGGCGATCGACCACTCGGACGACGAGGCGGGAGATATGGGGAGATACGGGGAGATACGGGGAGATATGGGGAGATACGATCGACCACTCGGACGACGAGGCGTGCCGCGCGGGATCCTTGCGGCAAGGGGAGGGGAGGGGAGGGGGGGAGGGGGGGGGGGGGAAGGGGGGAGGGGCGGTGTCTCGTCACTCTCCGTCTCTGCGTGTGCTGCAGGCTGCCTTCCGGCAAGACCTCCTCAACATCGCGATGACAACTCTCTCGTCCAAGGTGCTCTCTCAGGACAAGGAGCACTTCGCCGCCATCGCCGTCGACGCGGTGATGAAGCTGCGAGGCTCGACCAACCTCGACCAGATCCAAATCATCAAGCGGATAGGAGGCACGCTCCGCCACGACCCGCCCCTCGGCCCGCACCTTCTCGGCCATGTCTCTCGGCCATGCTCTTGGCCATGCTCTTGGCCGCACCTCGGCCGCACCTCGGCCGCACCTCGGCCGCACCTCGGCCGCACCTCGGCCGCACCTCGGCCGCACCTCGGCTAGACCTCGGCCGCACCTCGGCCATGTCTCGGCTGCAGGCACGCTCAAGGACTCCCGTCCCTCGACCCCGACGGCTTCCCATCTCCCCCTCCCTCCCCCTCCCTCCCCCTCTCCCAGGCACGCTCAAGGACTCGTACCTCGACCCCGACGGCTTCCTGCTCGAGAAGAAGATCGTTAATTAACTATTAATTAACAATTAATAGTTAGTTAGTAGTTAATTAATAGGCTTCCTGCTCGACAAGAAGATCAATTAATATTTAATTAGTAGTTAATTATAGTAATTAATTATAGGCTTCCTGCTCGACAAGAAGATCGGCGTCGGCTGCCCCAAGCGGATGCGCGACTGCAAGGTGATGATTGCCAACTCGCCGATGGACACGGACAAAGTCAAGATCTACGGCTCCAAGGTCAAGGTGGACTCCGTCTCCAAGGTCGCGGAGATCGAGGCGGCCGAGAAGAAGAAGATGCTCGACAAGGTGTGGACAGGGTCCTCGCCCCCTCTCTCCCCACTCTCTCCCCACCTCTCCCCACTCTCTCGCCCAGGTGGACAAGATACTCGCCCACGGGTGCAACGTCTTCATCAACCGGTGCAGCTGTAGCACAGAGAGGGCGGGGGGGTGTAGCCGAGAGGCGACACGTCTCTTCACCGGCGGCTACAGCCCGCTCCTCGCTTCTGGCGGCGCCTTCTGCCTTCAGAGTGGCCACTCGCTCCTTCCCCCGACGAGAGCAGGCAGCTCATCTACAACCTCCATATCTCCCCATATCTCCCCCCACAGGCAGCTCATCTACAACCTGCCCGAGCAGCGCTTCGCCGACGCGGGAGTCATGTCGATCGAGCACTCGGACTTTGACGGCACCGCGAGGACCTTTCCTAGACCTTTCCTGGAACCTTCCTGTAGGTCGATCGAGCACTCGGACTTTGACGGCACCGAGCGGCTCGCGCTCGTGCTCGACGGCGACATCGTCTCGACCTTCGACACGCCCGAGCGCGTCAAGCTCGGCTCGTGCGCCCAGAAGCGGAAGACGGGTTCCTGTCTCCCAACCAGCGCTCGAGAGGACACGCACTCAGCCGTATTCGGCCGTACTCCGCTGTACTCACTGTCTCCCTCTCCGTTGTACTCACGCGGTGCTCTGAACACACTGCACAATATTGTCTTCCCGCCCTGATGTCGGCGTATTCAGCGCGTAGGTTCGTGCGAGCTCATCGAGGAAGTGATGATTGGGGAGGACAAGCTGGTCCGCTTCTCTGGCTGCCCAAACTCACAGGCTTCGTCGATCGTGCTGCGCGGCGCCAACACGCACGTGGTGGACGAGGCGCACTGTTAATTAACTATAATTAACTACTAATTAAATATTAATTGATCTGGTGGTGGACGAGGCGCACCGCTCGCTGCACGACGCGCTCTGCGTCCTCTCGCAGACGGTCAAGAACACGGCCGTGCTGCCGCTGTGAAGAGACGCTGCTCACACCTGCAGGGTGTGAACAGGTCAAGAATACGGCCGTGCTGCCGCTGTGAAGAGACGCTGCTCACACCTGCAGGGTGTGAACAGGTCAGGAACACGGCCGTGCTGCCGCTGTGAAGAGACGCTGCTCACACCTGCAGGGTGTGAACAGGTCAAGAATACGGCCGTGCTGCCGCTGTGAAGAGACGCTGCTCACACCTGCAGGGTGTGAACAGGTCAGGAACACGGCCGTGCTGCCGCTGTGAAGAGACGCTGCTCACACCTGCAGGGTGTGAACAGGTCAAGAATACGGCCGTGCTGCCGCTGTGAAGAGACGCTGCTCACACCTGCAGGGTGTGAACAGGTCAAGAATACGGCCGTGCTGCCGCTGTGAAGAGACGCTGCTCACACCTGCAGGGTGTGAACAGGTCAAGAATACGGCCGTGCTGCCGGGCGGAGGCGCGCCAGAGATGCTGATGGCGCAGGCGGTGGAGGAGGAGTCGAAGCGGGTCGCCTCGAAGCACGTCGTTGCGATGGAGGCGTACGCAAAGGCGCTGCGCACGATGCCGATGCACATCGCGGACAACGCGGGCTACGACTCGACTGAGCTGTGCGCCGGCCTCAAGGCGAGCCACCGAGAAGGGGGGGGGGGGGGGTGCAGCGCACCTTCCGGCGTCTCTTCACGGCTGGACCTGTGTGAGGAGCAGGCGAAGCACCACGAGGGGCGCCACACGTGGGGCCTCGAGATGGACCGCGGCGGGCTGGGCGACATGGTTGCCCTCGGCATCTGCGAGTCGCTGCAGGCCTGGGCGGGGGCACAGCTCATCTCGGCTCAATCTCGGCTCAATCGCGGCTCAATCTCGGCACGTCTCCCGCCGCAGGTCAAGGAGCAGGTGCTCCTCTCCTCCTCCGAGGCGGCCGAGATGATCCTGCGCGTCGACGATATCGTGCAGTGCGCGCCGCGCCAACGGCAGCAGTGAGGCCGCACAGCGATCCGCCGGTGCAGGGCGGGGCGTGCAGCTGTCGTTCGGGCGCAGCGGCTCGCTGTGTCGCTCCCGAGTGATCGCCGCGTGCCGCCCCCTAATACAGTAGAGCACCCCCTTTCGCGCCCCCGATCTCACACTCTTTGGATTTGGTTCGCGTGGTTGCTGCTTGAAGTTGTGTTCCGCGCATTGTCCCCGTCTGTACGATCAATGATGTCTTACATAAACCGCCAAGGCAGCGAGCAGTGTCAGCAGGGCCACACGAGACACGTGCACGGACAGCAGCAGACGGGCGAGACGCCGCGCGGGAGGCTCTCAGTGACAGTGTGTGACTAGACTCTAGAGATCTAACCTCCCGAGTGTTGCACCCCACTCACAGTTATATTGTTATGGTGTTATATGGCTCTCGGGGCATAGCAGCCCATAACATGTGTACATGTTATGGGTGTTATGGGTGTCCTATGGGTGTTATGCTTATGGGGCCGGCCACATAACACCCATAACATGTTATGGGCTGCTATGAGAGAGCCGTCCCGGATCTCCACGCTCCACGGTGTTATGGTCCGAGAGGCCACACCGAACTGCTCGCCGCTGGAATTTTCGCCTTGCGCGCTGCCGCGCGCGAGGTTTCGGCATCGATCGCCAACTGTTTTCTCTTTTGCCCTCTCGGATCTCAGAGCACAGCGAGTTGTACGTCGGGGCGGGAGTGAACCAGCCGCGAGAACGCCTAGCCTAGGCGTGGAGGCCCGCGGCTCCTCGGAAGCTCCGACCTTCGCCCGCACGCCTTCCTGCCGCGAGGACCCTGCCTGCTGGCTCCTCCGCTTGTGGGCCTGCAGCCCTCTGCGCTCTGGTTTCTGTTCCTTGTGGCTGAGACTTGGGAGGTATCGAGTGGAATTTCACACACCAGGACACCACCCGAAACCCACTAGGCATTTTCTCCAGACCCCAACTAAGGCCCCTCGTTCGCGCCCGCGCCCTTCACATCTTCACACATACCGGTGTTTTACCGCGCCCCAAAATTTTCAAGACAAGACGCTCTCATCTCGTTGTCGCTCAACAATGGCAGAGGCGTGGGCTGACAGCGCTGCCTTCGCGCGTGAGTACGAGGGACGACTCCGATGAATACAGGTGAGTCCGTCTCCTCTCGAGCGCTAGTTGGACGTAGCGAGCGTCTAGCCTCCTCCGCCTCGGCCTCGGCCGGCGACGCCTCCTCTCCCCGCCGCCGCCTCCGCCCGGCCCCGCCGCCGCCGTCGCCCTTCCCTCCTCCGGTCGCTCTCCTCCCCGCCGCTGCCGCTGCCGTCGCGCGCCTCCCACTCGACGTCGAGCGCCGCGCGCCGCTTGCTGCCCGGCGCGAGGATCAGCGACGCGTCCAGCTTGTCGCTCCTCTCGAGCTCGCTCTGCGCCGCCGCAGCCTCCTCCTGGGCCAGCCAAGAAACGCGGCAACTTATCCCCCGGTGCACAGATCGTAACCGCGAGATGGCATGAAGGTCGCTGCGAGAACTGGCGAGAGACTGAGACGAGAGATAGGGAGGGAGAGGCAACAGACAGACAGACGGCCAACCGGCCAAGCGAGAGCAAACAAACAAACATGAATGAATGAGTGAATGAATGAATGAAGAAAGAGAGAGAGAGAGAGAGAGAGACAGACAGACAGACGGCTAGCACAATCACCCACCAATCCTCACTGAAAGGATTGTTTGATTGACACTGCCGTCCGAATGTGAGGTGTTGGTTGGGTGAGGAGCAGGAGGGGCGTGGGATGGGGATGGGTGGCGCGTGCTGCGTGCGCGCGTCGCGGGCAGAGCGCGCCGCGCGTGCGCGCGCGCAGGCGTGTCGACAGAGCGTGGGGGCCGCAGGGTAGGGCTGGGCAGGCTACCTTTGAGTGCGACTGCTGCGTTTCAAGTGGCCTGCATCGTTCCGATAATCAAATCAGTAAAAGCGGCAAGAAACGCGGCAATTACCCCCCCCCCCCTCCTCCTCCCCCCCCCTCTGTAGTGACCGCACAGTAATTACCGCACAGCGCTTTGCCGCTGTGCACCCTACTTTGACGCTGCGCATAGGATGGGGCCGTCGTCACAGGATGGATGCGAAATACAAACACAACACGCATGAGTGTGTTAGTTAGATTTGTTTGGTGTTGCTAGAAAAAAAAACCAAACCAAATTGCTACGTGCTCGGTGGGGAGCTAGGTGGGGAGAGGGCCGTCTCATAGGATACAGCGTGGCCCCATATCTTCACTATTAGACGCAGCACGCCCCCTCTTGCGCAAAGAGGGGTTGCGCAGTTAATACATGATGCGGCGCCCAGCAAGCATGCTCTATCATGCGTCGCCCCGCAGTGGCCGAGCCGACCGCCGCTCGAACTGGCGCCGAGTGGCTCCCAGATCGAGCACGGCAGGCTCAGCCCCGTGCCCGGTGGGATCCCCGGTGGCAAAATTCTCAAAGAAAGAAAACAGAGAACGCAGGGGAGGGATGGGAGGACGGTATGCCGCCACCACACACGGATTTTACAAAAATTATTTATTCTCCAATTCTTTTTCAACGACACAGCTCACAGGCGAGCGGGCGCCGTGCTGCTGCTACCCTCTGCGCCTTCTCGGCCGCCGTACCACACATCCCTCGCCATCCCCGCCCACACACTCACCCCACCTCTCTTCTCGCGGCACAGTCGCGAGACGAGCCATCATCAAGGTAGGCGAAATGCCGCCCATGTACACTGCTGTCGCCGGTTTCATTGCGCCCATCACGCTGCTTTACACCTACATTATCCGAGCTTCCTGTCCACCTGTGTGTAGGCGCTGTCGCCGCACTCTTCGTGGCGGTTGGGATCCTGCGCCGCGGGGGGAGCCACTGAACATGACCGAGGGTAGCAGGAGACCGGGTCTTCCCACACCAGCGCCCACACACGGCACACACGGGCGAAGAGCTCACAACATGCGCTATATTACCGTATTTTTACGTCGTGTCGTCGACACAATATAAAGATACCAAACCAGCTGCACACAGTCCCGGATCCTCTCCACACACGCCCGCTGCTACCTCGGGTTTATGCCGGGAAGGCGAAACCGGCCGTTGTCGTCGACGCCGATGGTGTCGCGCAGATCGACCTTGACCAGCTCCGCGCCTACGTGCGCACCCGAGGCCCACTGAGCCCGCCACCTGGCGCGGCCCGTCGCTAACCCGCGCGCACGGCTCGCCAAGCCAAGTGTGCGCCCAACGGTGGTCCGCAAAGGAGCGCTCCAACACGCTCACAACACCCGCCTACACTCAGGGTAGCGGATCCGGCCCTCAAGCAGGCCCCGCGCTGCGCCGTTCTGGACACTGCCGTCACGTGTACGTACTTAGATATAGATGACCCCGCTGCCGACAAATTTTTGATCCCTGGGGCCCGAGAAACGAATGCTGCCTGTAGCGTAGAGTTGTCCCCCGCGCCTATCAAAATGTTCGCGATACGCTCCCATAAAGCGTACAGT